AGGTCAGTTTTAATATATTTTTTATATTTATCTTGCGGGCCACATAAAAATGCTCCATGGGCCTTCTGTCTGACACATGTGTCATAGAGGGTTAAAGTCTTTGTTTACAACTTGTCCTGCCTTTATACTTCCTGGTTCCAGAGCTTGCAAGGATGCCAAGTCTGTGCCGGCATTTGTTATTTGACACCAGTTGACAAATAGTTGCAATGTTGTGGACAGAATGGAAGCAAATAATAGGAGTGGCCCAGATTTAAATGAAATAAGCAAACAAAAGTCAATTTTTGTTTTACTCTAATATCAGGTAAAAAAGACCAGAAAATAAAGGTGCGGAACACTCGTTTTCTGTGTGTTTTCCATATTAATTATACAAGTTGTTGAATCAGTCTTTACTAGGAATGAATGCTTTGTAAGTTGTACTCTGGGGGAAAAAAGCTCAGATGCACCTGAATAGGGAACTAGAAGGCCCAATCCCAATTCTCACTCTTCCACCCCTTTGCCCTTCAATTGCAAGATCTCGTCCAGGGGTGCGATTGTGTAGAGTGTCCCAATTTTCAAGTGCAGAAATTGACAATGCCCCTTTTGCACCCTTGATCTGCATGTCACCCAAGTCCGCATCTATGTGGACTTCGGTGAAGGGTGTTACCCACAAACTATTACTGTGCAGGAATTTTGAGAAGAATGGCTGAAGTGCCTTTTATTCACCGTCTTTGCCATCAGAAACTAATGACTTTCACATTCAGCCAGCATGTTAATCCCAGAGTGACCATTATAATCAGAAATATTAATGAAAAAAAAACTTTTTTTCAGTGCTCCACACCATTAATCCAATTAGTTGATAATTAATTTCTGCTTTCTAATTTCTGTGCAGTTCTTTTAAACTTACTTTTTATAATCATTCCTACTGCACTGATTTACTTTTTGGTTACTTCCATCTCTGCATTAGGACAAACACAATTAGTAGTATTAAATTGAAAAGACAGTGCATTACTTTGCATGTCTTAAATCATTTTAGGAAATGTTTAACACCAGCTTTCAGTTAAAGTGACCACATAGTGAATTTTCTAATTGTTTTAACATCTACTTTCAGGGTCCTTCTCATCTTGTCTAAATTGAATCTCTTTTATTAAAATTGAAAGAAAAAACACACTTGAAGATCCACCGCTAAAATATTCATGATTAGCCCGCTGCTGAATATCATTGACCACGTCATCAGGAAAACAAGCCTTCATTGAGTGTGTCAGAAGGACCTTTGACTGTTTTCTATCACTTTGGTTTTGCTTTTGAAAGCTGATGTCATTAGAGCCCAGACGACTGAAATCTATTAAGAATAACATTAACAGCTTTTCTGTGGGTCATAATTGAAGTTCTAAATTTGGAACATTGATGTGTGGGATGAATAGATAAAGGACTCCGTCCAGACGGTGGTAAATAACGCTGGCGGAGGCTCATAAGCTGTTTTTCTACATCTGCCTTCTGAACACGTTTTTGTCAAACTGGGCTCTCAGACAAAACAGGCCACACGGCTTGGCTTAACTTTTATCAGACTGCCTGGCGAGATTATACTCGGGGGATTTTTTATTTAAATAAAATGATACAACTGATTCCAGCAAACAACACCTGCATGTCTTTGCACGTTCATGAAATGCTCTAATTGTCTTCTGTATGAATAAATTTAAGAGAAAAGCATAAGGATTGTTTCCATAATTATAATCCCTGTTCTAGATGCTCTTCCTCAAAGAGCTACAAACAAACTTCTATTTAGCAGAATGTTTTCAACAGTCTTTCATCCTGCCCCAGGCTCCAGCAGGTAAAATGATCTTTATGCTGTACCCCTACAATACTGTGGATTGATTTTAAGCATTTTAATGTTTTTTGGTTGCAAGGCAAGAAGATCAGAAAAGGCTATTTCCTGAGGTCTTATTTTCAAAAAATGTGTTAGATATTTTCCATTTTATGTTTAGAATTTTCAGTGTAGTTAAATTGTTAGAGGATATAGCCGTTAGGGACTTTAATAAAATAAAAAAAATCATGAATGTTATTATAATCAATAAATGTGTGGACGCTAGGGGTTGTATGAACTAGTCGACTAGTCGACTTCATGGCTCTGTAGTGACTTTTTATGCCTGTCATCGACTAGTCGCTGTCACGTGATAATGACTGACAAGATGCAGTCCCCAGAAAAGACAACAGGTGATGAGCCCCCGCACGTCGAGAGGCAGAGGCGACGCGCTGTGCCAGAGCGTCGGTACTGACACCGGCGGTAAAACGGACATTTAACCAAACTGTGACCTTTTCCCTCTGGCAATTTTACCTTCCCCTCACCCCCATCCTAATCTTAACCAGTTTGCACATGCAAAGCTCTGATCGTTGACGTGCTCCAGACATCTGCGTCCTGAGCACCGCCAAATCAGGTGTCACCACCTCAAAAAAAAATTAAACACGCGATCGTTCATGTCGGCTCATTTCCTTTCATGTTTTCTGTCTGTTATTTGTGCCTGATGCGTTTCGCTGCTGCGCACCACCTGTTTTGTCCTCCGGTGACGCACCTCCAAAATTCCACTATCTCCGCTCTGCTCCGGCACAAACTCCTCAGCAAAACGGTCCAGTTGTAGTCGGCCGGCGAGCAGCGGCACTCCGCTGTTTTTGTGGTCGCTAGATCTTTTAGAACTGCAGTTCAAAGGTAACTCAAGGTGAATATAAATGAACCCAGGTAGCAGTTTCTCTTTAGGATTGAGAGGAGATGCAGGAAGATAATAAACAGACAGGACAGAAAAATAGTCAAATAAAAACAAGTTTGTTTTTGTACCTGGTTGCAACAAACAAACACCATTGAAGAAGTGAGGAACAGAAAATGAAATAATTATTTTAATGTTTAGAGCAGCAGGAAAGGCTGCAGGCGCATCAGTGAGTTTTTCAGCTGCTTCACAGGGGGAGGAGGGAGAGGGCTGAAGTAGGATGCAGAAACTACCGTTGTTAAAAGAGATGTGTTAACTTAGAAAATGTGGGCGCAACTTTAATTGTCAAAAACTCCAGCGAACCTACCGACGACCCCCCCCCCCCCCCCCCCCCATGCCGCTTCAGGTGTATGACGTCATCAAAGACTAGTCGAAGTTGACTCGATTTTCATTACTTGACTGTCGACTTTAAAAAAATTTAAGTCATGCAACCCCTAGTGGACACCAATGTAAAATTAATATTTTATTTGTAAAATAAATGTGGCGTACATTCAGAGATTCAGTCAGGTGGAAATTAACTTATCATAAGTGTAAAAACAGCATGGAACAGCTGGTTTTGGCACGATGAAAACACCATAAAACACCAACATGTTTGCTTTAAAGTCCAACTTCAGTTGATAATTTTTTAAACGATAACAAATTTTCTTTTATTTCACATGCACTGAAAAAACAAATGAATTTATAATTTTTTTTCTCGGTCAATGCAGAATTGTGATTCTAAAGTTGTTCAACCTTCATCTTGGTTCATATGTGTGCTTACTCTGGTCATGCTTGTCATTAAAATATGTAAATTGTAATGTCACCAAAGGGACTGATTTTGAGATCCCACAGTTCATTTGCACGGCCAGAGCAAATAACCCTGGCTACACATGTTCTGCTGTATTTTACCCTGACAGGAGATGGAATGTCTGCACACAGGCTCTTTAATCAGATGACTTCATCAGCTGAGCTGAAGATTCATCAGATAATGAAAGATGACAGTAGCATTCTTTTCCCCAAGGTTCTGCACAGAACTCTGTTAGATAAACTTTTATTCCCGTAAGAAAAGAAGATTTCATAACTAAAGTAATCATTTTATAATTCAAAATAATCATTGAAGAAAAGAAGATCTTGCAGACAGAGTAAGGCTAAGATAAAGACATGACACATAAATAACCTTGTCCCACATTTCAGAGTCAGAATCGGAGACTGTGTTCTGAGATGCATGGCAACTTCTGAGATAACACCAGGCCTTAAAAAGAGCTTCACTCCTAGTCTCAGTAAGTCAGATAAACAGAGAGAGAGAAGCTCAGAACGGCCGTCTTAGCAAGCCTCTTTCACCAGAAGGATTTTGACATAGTCAAAACCTTAAGCTTTTGCACCTGCAAAGTGATATTTTTCCTGCAGAACAAAGCTGATTTTGCAACACTCCTTCAGAGTTGTTTTGAGACGCTTGGGTCCATCCAGTCCACCTGTGTTATCTGGAGCCGATCCTGGACCGACCTGGTTGTACTAGGAGTTAGTCTACGGACTTCTGTACTCGGGGTCTCCAACCCCCCTGAAATTTTGGATCTGCAAGGGCGCCTCTGCATGGGTACGTAGAACACAGTGAGATAGCGTCTGTATGCAGTTTGATAAATAACAGCTTGTAGCTTACTTGCAAACCAAATTTCCTCCATCCAGGATTCAGCTTTCTCATGATACCGACTCTGAAATACTAAATTCACACCTAGTTCCAGACACCCATCTCTCAGTTTGCATCCACTCACAGTAGATAATAGTTTAAACCATTTGTCAAGTCTTAAATTGTTTTTAAAATAAATTATTATTTGTTTGCAAACCTGACTGGTTCTTGAATCCTAAACAAAGTGATGACAGTCCCTGAATAAACAAAGAGTCTTAGAATCTTCTGCCTAATCATCTTAAAGACCAAGCAGGTGATATTCTATAATTAATAGATTATCACAGCTATGGGTCACAAGTAATGACAATAAAAATAAATAGCTCTTAAGCAATTTATTTAATCCAATTTACCCTCTTGTCGTCATTTCAAAATGTGTGTGTGTGTGTGTGTGTGTGTGTGTGTGTGTGTGTGTGTGTGTGTGTGTGTGTGTGTGTGTGTGTGTGTGTGTGTGTGTGTGTGTGTGCATTCCTTATAAACACAAGAGCTCCGAGAAGTGGCTCAAAACCAGCTGCAGTAACTATGCCAGTCCTGTAGGTTGTGCTGTAAAGCTGCTATGAAAACAACCCAAAAACAGGAAGCAAGAAGCGGAGCATGCACATAAAGCATATACACTGGAGACTTTAATGTTTTTAGGTTAGGAAACTTAAACACACACACACATAAAGAAGAGCACAAGGGTGGAGCGTGCAAACCAAAAAAATCAACATAAAACTAATGATCTCTGTGGGCTAACGAGTGGAAAATTCTACTTTTTCTCACGTTAAACTACAAAACCTCAAAAGCGAAGTTACTTTCTACAGAGAGTGATGGCAGTTTAAATACATGGACGTAAAAATAGACGCAGAAAAATTTTCAGGCACTGAATCTAGCAATAAGCTAGGCTCCATTCATTGTGCATGACGGCACCATTATTACATTTGGTCTACCAGCTGGTTCTCCTTGGTCTTCGCCAAAGTCTTCCTCTGATTCCAGTTCTCCTCCATGGTGAGTGAAGCATGTGTTGTATGTTAGTATTCATCAGCTCACTGAAGTAACTTTATTGTTTAAATGCAAGGATGTATCTCACTGTTCTTGTTAGTTCTGACTTGATTGGGGTTCATGTCTCCATGAAGACTCAAAAGGTGACAGTTAAGACTTTTGTTTCTCTAGAACCAGTTTCAATTTTTCAAGAGTCCAATAACTAAAGGAGTGTTTGTGTGGGTGAAAGGCTGCAGTGGTTCCCACATGGACTGGGCCTCACATTCATGCCACAGGCCATTCAAATGTTGCCCAGGAGTAGTTATAAAGGTGAAGAAGCAGCATTGCACAAAGATTAAATGCAATTAAAAGCATAAAATGTAAGCATGTTTTCTTTCTATGGTGTTTAAAACTTGTTAGCAAGCCCTGCTTTGGTCTTTAGATGGAAACAGATGCTGGAATACTGCAAAGCGACTGCTGTGTCATGCATTGCATGAACCAAAGAGTAGTCAGGTGCTTCAGGCTTCTTGTAGAGACTTTAAAATGTATCAACTGAAAGACTTAGTCAGTACACAGAAGTATGAAATCACAGTGATGAAAGTTGATGTCAATTCAAAACCTTTCAGTTTGAAAATAATTCTGACGATCACCCTAAATATAAAATGTAAAAAGTTAGGGATGCATTTGAGATGATTTTGACAGTGGTATAAAGTGAGAACATAACCACTGTGATCTCTCCACTATTGTTTGAGCTGCACCTCCTCATAGCTGCCAGCTTACCAATAAACCCTCCTAGCTCCTCTTTCATCTGAAAGCCTTTGTACTTTCACGTTCCGAGCTTTTACTCACAAACAGCACATATTTCATAAAAACCAGAAACCTTTTTGTTTTAAGCAAATGCAGTGAATCTAATCTGGTGCCAACTTCATATTGGGACACAACACAATACATAAATATTTATATCTGTATTCATTTATACAAGAAATTAAATTTCCCTGGAGCAGTCTTTCCATTCCAGGTAAAAATGCTGCTAAGTGGATGTCAGAACGACCTCCTGGCCAAAATCCATCACCGCTATAATTTTCTCAGAGTTCAGGGCACAGTAGCCCTGCAGCTCTTTCTGCTTTTAACGGTTCCAATCAGTTCAGACTGTTATTGTTGTTGCCTTCCTCTGCAGCAACAAACTTGATCTCGGCGTTTGCAGTCCTTGAAGCCATGCTGCTGTCTCTGACCTTGTGCCTAAACAGGAAGGGGAAGGTTTTCCTAAAGGACTTCTGGAAACTGGCTCCCATGAAGCCATAAATGATGGGGTTGACGGAGGAGTTGGCGTAGGACATGCAGTTGGCCCACGTCTTGATCTTGTATGTAGTGTAGTTGGGTTCGTAGCTTGGGTAGAAGGATTGGAAGAGGATGAAAATCTGGATGGGGCCCCAGCAGATGGCAAAGAGGAGAACTATGACTACCACCATCTTGGAGACTTTGCTCCTGATGCTGATTGTTCTCTCAGACAGGAGGTTGACCTGAGTAGTCAGAAGTTAATTTTTGATAATTAGACCTTTGAGTTACTTTTATTGAACTCAATCTGAAAACATAAATCATCGCCTATTATTTACTATATATTTATTGCATTTTGCAATAAACTTGTGCACACCTGATAATTGTTGTCCACAGGCTCCACAGTGGGCTGGCCAACCCTCTTCACCATCAGGGAGTAGCAGAAAGAGATGGTGAGCACAGGTAGCAGATAGGCAGCGATGAACTGGTAAAGGATGAAAGCTCTCTCATGGGTCTTAGAGGGAAACCTCTCCTGGCAGTACTGCCTCGGCCCGTACCAGTAACCCTCCTCTATACGCTGGTACATCAGTATTGGCGTGGACAGGATGAAGGAACCTAGACAGAACATCTGCTTGAAATGAATCACTGTATTCCAGTTAAAGCAGTGCAAGGATCACTCAGCCTACCAATCCAAATGCAGATGCTGACAATCATCGCTACTTTTGGGGTGCGGTGGCGCAGAGATTTGAGAGGGTAGACTGTGACATAGCAGCGGTCCCCACTCATCGCAGTCAGGGTGATGCACGTGGCTTGTACTGTCACCTAAACATGAGAGAAATGATCATTTCTAGTTATCAAAACTGGGTAATCACACAGTAAAGGGTTCAATATCTTAGACAGCATCATGTTAATGTGCACAAAGAAATATCGTCTAAATATGCGTGTGCATCACTGTTGGACAGTATCTCCCACCCCATGGACAAAGCTGTTGTGGAGCTGGAGAGCTCCTTCAGAGGCAGACTGCTGCATCCTGGTGCACAGAGGAACATTACTGAAGGTCCTTCCTTCTAGCAGAATTCACGATCGCCACTGCTCTCAACAAACCCAGTAAATTCTTTCTTTTGCATCCCTTCCTTCCTGCTGATTTTTGTTATTTGCAGTTGTCTTCCTGCAAACACTCATTATTGCATTGGTACAGTCTCCTATTCGTGTTTCCCATTCCCGTAAAATACTTTGCCATCTTTAGTTCACACAGTACTTAATATTTGTATTTTCAAAATCTGCAAATATTCAGCATTTCTGAAGTTTTAATCTTTGAGATCTTTGAGTCACCCTACGGAGGAAACTCATTTCGGCCGCTTGTATCCGCGATCTCGTTCTTTCGGTCATTACCCAAAGCTCATGACCATAGGTGAGGATTGGGACGTAGATCGACCGGTAAATCGAGAGCCTGGCTTTCTGGCTCAGCTCCCTCTTCCCCACGACAGATCGGCTCAGCGTCCGCATCACTGCAGACGCCGAACCAATCCGCCTGTCGATCTCCCGATCCCTCCTACCCTCACTCGTGAACAAGACCCCGAGATACTTAAACTTCTCCACTTGAGGTAGGACCTCTCCCCCGACCCGGAGGTGGCAAGCCACCCTTTTCCGGTCGAGAACCATGGTCTCAGATTTGGAGGTGCTGATCCTCATCCCAGCCGCTTCACATTCGGCCGCGAACCTACCCAGCAAGAGCTGAAGGTCAGAGCTGGATGAAGCTAGGAGGACCACATCATCCGCAAAAAGCAGAGACGAGATTCTCCTGCCACCAAACTCGACACACTCCACACCACGGCTGCGTCTAGAAATTCTGTCCATAAAAGTGATGAACAGAACCGGTGACAAAGGGCAGCCCTGGCGGAGTCCAACCCTCACTGGGAACAGGTCCGACTTACTACCGGCTATGCGGACCAAACTCACGCTCCTCTGGTAAAGGGACTGAATGGCCCTTAACAGAAAGCCACCCACCCCATACTCCTGGAGCGTCCCCCACAGGGTGCCCCTGGGGACACGGTCATAAGCCTTCTCCAAATCCACAAAGCACATGTGGATTGGTCGGGCAAACTCCCATGCCCCCTCCATCACCCTTGCAAGGGTATAGAGCTGGTCCACAGTTCCACGGCCAGGACGAAAACCACATTGCTCCTCCTCTATCTGAGATTCAACTATCGATCGGACCCTCCTCTCCAGTACCTTGGAGTAGACCTTTCCAGGGAGGCTGAGGAGTGTGATCCCCCTATAGTTGGAACACACCCTCAGGTCACCCTTCTTAAAGATGGGGACCACCACCCCGGCCTGCCACTCCCTAGGAACTGCCCCCGATGACCACGCAATGTTGTAGAGACGTGTCAACCATGACAGCCCTACAACATCCATAGCCTTGAGATACCCAGGACGAACCTCATCCGCCCCCGGGGCTCCGCCGCTGTGTAGTTGTTTGACTACCTCAGCAACTTCTGCCCCCGAGATCGGACAGTCCATCCCCAGGCCTCCCAGCTCTGGTTCCTCCTCGGAATGCGCATTGGTGGGATTGAGGAGCTCCTCAAAGTATTCCTTCCACCGTCCGACTATAGCCTCAGTTGACGTCAGCAGCTCCCCATCCCCACTGTAAACAGTGTGAGCGAGTTGCTGCCTTCCTCTCCTGAGGCGCCGGACAGTTTGCCAGAACCTCTTTGGAGCCGATCGATAGTCTTTCTCCATGGCCTCACCAAACTCCTCCCACGCCCGAGATTTTGCCTCGGCAACTGCCACTGCTGCACCCCGCTTGGCTATCCGGTACCTGTCTGCTGCCTCCGGAGACCCACTGACCAGCCACGCCCTGTAGGCCTCCTTCTTCAGCTTGACGGCTCCCCGAACCTCTGGTGTCCACCAGCGGGTACGGGTATGGGCTCAGCCTTAGAGATAGGGTGAGGAGCTCGGACATTCGGGAGGGACTCGGAGTAGAACCGCTGCTCCTCCGGATCGAAAGGAGCCAGTTGAGGTGGTTTGGGCATCTGGTCAGGATGCCTCCTGGACGCCTCCCCGGGGAGTTGTTTCGGGAATGTCCTGCCGGCAGAAGGCCCCCGGGTCGACCCAGGACACGTTGGAGAGGTTACATCTCCAATCTGGTCCGGGAACGCCTTGGGGTCCTGCCGGAGGAGCTGGTGGACAAGGCCGGGGAGAGGACGGCCTGGAGCTCCCTAGTTGGGATGCTGCCCCCGCGACCCGGACCCGGATAAGCGGAGGAAGACGAGACGAGACGAGAGATCTTTGAGTCTTTGAAATTAGGAATGACCTGCACTTGTAGAGTGCCTTTCAGTGGCAGAGGATTTCAATGTGCTTTACACTCTATTCATCCATTCATCCATTAAAACACACATTTCCACACTCTAAGCATTTCTGTGTTATTTTCTTGATGGCTTTTTTGCCCCTATAATGAATGTAATTGCTGCTGAGACTCCAAAATTACCCCACAGAGGGCCAATAAAGGGATTTTCTATTATATTCTATTTCTAAGATTGTGAATGCTGTGCTATTTAAAATAAACATAATGAAGTTAAATTGGACTTATCCATAATAACATTATTTATGATGACATTGTGAAACTCTGGAAATAGACCAACAAGCAGAAATTAAACTAGAGCTGTCAAATAATCAGGATACCACAGTGATGGTCTTGTCTGACATGCATTGTTCCATTCATGAAATAATTCCATCCATCCATCCATTTCTATTCGCTTATCCGGAGTCGGGTCGCGGGGGCAGTAGCCTAAGGCGAGAGGCCCAGAAGTCCCTCTCCCAAGCCACTTGGGCAAGCTCCTCCGGGGGAATCCCAAGGTGTTCCCTGGCCAGGTGAGAGACACAGTCCCTCCACCGTTTCCTGGGTCTACCTTTAGGTCTCCGGGTTGGACGTGCCCAGAAAACCTCACCAGGAAGGTGTCCAGGAGGCATCCTGACCAGATGCCTGAGCCACCTCAACTGGCTCCTCTTGATGTGGAGGAGCAGTGGGTCTACTCCGAGCCCTTCCCGAATGACCAAGCTTCTCACCCTATCTCTAAGGGAGATCCCAGCCACTCTTCAGAGAAAACTCATTTTGGCCGCTTGTATCCGTGATCTCATTCTTTCGCTCACGACTCAAAGCTCATGACCATTTGTGAGGGTAGGAACGTAGATTGACCAGTAAATCGAGAGCTTCGCCTTCTGACTCAGCTCTCTCTTCACCACGACAGACCGGTACAATGCCCACATCACTGCAGATGCAGCACCAATCCGCCTATCGATCTCACGCTCCAGTTTTCCCTCACTCATGAATAAGACCCCGAAATACTTAAACTCCTCCACTTGGGGCAGGACCTCATCCCTGACCCGGAGAAGGCATTCTACCCTTTTCTGAATCAAGACCATGGTCTCAGATTTAGAGGAGCTGATTCTCAACCCAGCTGCTTCACACTCGGCTGGGAACCGCTCCAGCGAAAGCTGAAGATCACGTTCTGATGAAGCCAACAGGACCACATCATCTGCAAAAAGCAGAGACCTGATCCTCAGGCCACCAAAACAGATGCCCTCCACACTTTGGCTGTGCCTAGAAATCCTGTCCATAAAGGTTATGAACAGAATTTGTGACAAAGGGCAGCCTTGGCGGAGTCCAACTATCACTGGGAACGAGCCCGACTTACTGCCGGCAATGCGGACCAAGCTCTGACATCAGTCATACAGGGACCTAACAGCCCGTATCAGAGGGCCTGGTACCCCATACTCCCGGAGAACCCCCCCTTTGGGCCCCCCGAGGGACGCAGTCAAACGTCTTCTCCAAATCCATAAAACATATGTAGACTGGTTGGGAAAATTCCCACGCACCCTCCAGGATCCCCCTAAGGGTATAGAGCTGGTCCAGTGTTCCACGGCCAGGACAAAATCCACATCGCTCCTCCTGAATCTGAGGTTCAACAATCCGATAGACCCTCCTCTCCAGAAGCCCTGAATAGACCTTACCAGGAAGGCTCAGGAGTGAGATCCCCCTGTAGTTGGAACACACCCTGCAGTCCCCCTTTTTAAATAAGGGGACCACCACCCCGGTCTGCCAGTCCAGTGGGACTGCCCCCGATGTCCACGCAATATTGCAGAGCTGTGTCAGCCAACACAGCCCCACAACATCCAGAGCCTTAAGGAACTCCGGGCGGATCTCATCACCCCCTGGAGCCTTGCCATGAAATATTTATTGGGTAAAAAAAAACATTTGACAGTAATGACTGGGTGCAGTGATCAGAGCACAGCATGCTCCAGTTAAATGGTTTTTAAACTACAGTTCACACAGTTCTGCTGGATTAAAAGGAAAATGTTGGAAAATGCATCTCTTTGCACAGGAAGCCTCCAAACTACAATAAAACACATCTGCACAATGCATCTTCTTCTCTTAAGGTGTTTCAATGTTAAAAATCAGGTGTAGTAACAAGGGTTGCATTCCGCTTCTGCAGCTTTGCATTCCGAACGCATTTTAGCAGAACTTTCTCAAAATCGAATGCAGCCCTCCTTAATTGATCTGTATAATTCCCGTATGTTCAAGACTGAGCAATAAAAAGCAGAGCTTTACTTTTTGTTTTTTAAGAAAGCAAGATTTTCACAGAGAGCCAAACGTTGCTCTGAATGTTCTAATATTCGTTCTAGAAACAAAAAAGTTATTTTTGTCACAGCAAAATTGTCTCATTAGAGGAACATATTTTCTGATAAAAGCATCAATTTGAGCACAAAGTTGGCATGGATTTTCTGCCTGAGTCACATAAGAGCTGCATCACCATGGCACCCAG